TCATCCAAAGATAGTGGTAGGTTGTCTCTGTGCCCAGCTGATCAGAGAGCCATCCAAAGATAGTGATTATTTTCGGGAACACTTTCAAGTTGCAACTGGTAAAGTATGTTTTAGACTTAATGTATTGCATGTTAAAAGCATTTTTCGTGTGATTCCGGCACTTTGCACCATAAGTTGCATGTCTTTGTCAGGTAATGGTAAGTGTACACCTTTATGTGTTCGTGCATGGGTTTGAAAAACAAAGTTGCATACGCGTAGGTAGGCCATTCAGTGCTTCGTCATTTGAATTCTATCTTGGTAGTGTGACCCGTAACTACCTGGATTGGTTGACACAGTTGCCATGGGGAGTCTTCAGTGATGAGAATCTTGAACTGAAGACAGCAAGGGAAGTCCTGGAGAGGGATCACTATGGCATGGAGGATGTCAAGAAACGCATTCTGGTACACACTCATTGCTCTTTACTTTACACCACTACCTGCAGTGAAATCTTGGTTTTAGAGGGATGACGTTACTCAAAGACACAAGATGACTTTCCATTTAAACTACATACACTGCTGAAACAAACTGCCCCATGGGTTACGTTTTGACTGTCAGTGTACAAAATTACAAACAATAAAATACAGTATGTAGGAGCTCACTTTGTTAAAAAATGAACTTATGCACATTTTAAAAGTTTTAGCATAAATGCCTGAATAAATACACATACATGTAGGCTTTAATGCCCCTTATGAAATGGCCATGTTTTGTAGGACTGTTTACAAGTGCAGTGTAATCATTGGCTCAGTATTTTCTTTGCTGCTTTTAGACACATAGAAATTGGGCTCCTAGGAATGTTGCTATTCATCCTCATGGAGCTGGGCATACCTTCTTGCAGAGCTGCATGCATTGCAAACACACTCAGAAGGGTGGGTCAGTGGTCCCTCCTGTTGTGCTCATGGCATAAACAATGGCTTAGCCTTTTCTCCATGTACATCTAGCAAAATGCATATTAATGAGTCATTGTGTTTCTGTATATTTATCTTTACAGGAGTTCATAGCAGTGAGCCAGTTAAAGGGATCCACCCAGGGAAAAATCTTGTGTTTCTATGGACCACCAGGTGTAGGCAAGACCAGCATAGCAAGGTCTATTGCTAGTGCACTCAACAGACAGGTATGAATCATCACTGTATGGTCTTGGAATTCATGTTGGAATTGAGGTTAGAAAAGGTCCAAAATTAACAGAATTGGAAAAAACAGGACATCAGGTGAAAAACTTCTGAATAGTAAAGGCAGACAAGAGTAGGATTGAACACTTTCCTTGGTAAGGGAAAATCTTTACATTCTAGCTCCGAGTGTCCATGAAAAGGAAGATGGAAAGCATGTGTTTAACGGAATCATGAAATGAGACTTGCCTGATCAGTCCTTTGATAATAACTAACAGCAAGTTGGTCAAGCTTTTTATGTTAACTGATCAGTCCATTTGTGGATGTGAGTGAATGTTGATAAAGTTCCTTTTCTCTTGCTTTGACTAGTACTTCAGGTTCAGTGTTGGTGGAATGACAGACGTGGCCGAAATCAAAGGACACAGGTAATGCCCTGTGTGTGACTGTTGAATGTTAGGATGCAGATGATACAGTCACAACATAAAGCTTTCATTGTGTCTTTATGAATTCAATTCTTTGTATCCTGCATGATTCTATTTGTAAACATCAGTGTTTTATACAAGTCCATCACAAGTCTCTGTAAGTACATGCACCTGTAAATCCATTGCAAGTCCATCACAAGTCCCTGTAAGTACATGCACCTGTAAATCCATTGCAAGTCCATCACAAGTCTCTGTAAGTACATGCACCTGTAAATCCATTGCAAGTCCATCACAAGTCCCTGTAAGTACATGCACCTGTAAATCCATTGCAAGTCCATCACAAGTCTCTGTAAGTACATGCACCTGTAAATCCATAGCAAGTCCATCACAAGTCTCTGTAAGTACATGCACCTGTAAATCCATTGCAAGTCCATCACAAGTCTCTGTAAGTACATACACCTGTAAATCCATTGCAAGTCCATCACAAGTCTCTGTAAGTACATGCACCTGTAAATCCATTGCGAGTCCATCACAAGTCTCTGTAAGTACATGCACCTGTAAATCCATTGCAAGTCCATCACAAGTCATTCAGTCTTGAGCCAGTTCACAAGCTATTCAATTGAGATGTGACAAAAGCATTCTTTTGTCATTATGCTCCCTGTTACTCATGACTGGCCTTGTAAAGGGACTTGACTCTAACGCTAGTAAAAATTTGGACTAGTCTCCAGCACCAATGACCAGAAAAGGTGTGTCATGTAAGTCCAAGCATTTTGGAGTGATGAAGCAAATAGTGTGTTTCCAGTAAGGTTAGAAGAAAAAGGAACTATGTACATACATGTATAATATGGCTTTTCCCAGTTAATTTTGCACTTCATTCATTTAAAATTGCTGAAAAGAATTGTCACTTGCCCCTAAATGTTGATTCCAATTTTGAAGTAACACCACTAGATTTCACTTTCAGAACATAACTTATTCATCCTACATATTGTCATTATGTCTCATTCCTGGGAATGGCGTTGAATTGGAAAAGCAAATTGGTTTTTTTGTCATTCATTTTACTGATTTAATCATTCAATTTCGTCAGTGATATAAATTTGTATACAGAGCATAGGCCCTTAATCTTATCAACAAGAGAGAGTTAAATAAGAGTGAGTTATGGAGGACGGTGTGGATTTGCTTTTTCCAATTCAACGCCATTTGCAGAGTGAGACGAAAATGACGATAAATAGGACGAATAAGTGTGGTTTTTTTGTGATTTACAGTTTTCAAAGTGAAATCTAGTGGTATAATTGTAAAATTTTAATCAACATTTAGGGCAAGTGACCCTTCTTTGACAAAATTATATTTTCATTTAGGCAATTTTAAATGAAAGAAGTACTAAATTAACCGGGAAAACCTATATATTACGGATTTTATAAAAAAAAATTAGTATACTGTGGCTACATGATGTGTTTGTTCGTGTACATGTATGTCATTGTTAAGTACATTTACATGAAATACTCCACTGAATGTTCCTTCCTGGCTTGATTTGGGGGTCATTTTTCACAAGAAACCTCAAAATTAAAAGCAGACAGCAAAACTTGAAAGTGTGTGTATATCCTTTTTGCATGAGCAATAACAGTGAGGTCCACTCACAGGGTGTCCATGCAAGCTTGCACTTGTATGATTCAGAATACCTGATTTTCACTGGAATATTTGACCTTCGCATAAGCGTCAAGGCTACAAACTGTCGTCTTGTCTGTACCAGTCAATAGGTGTTTGTTCGTGATAAATCAGATAGATTGCTGATCCTAGTCCTGGTGCAACTTGGCACTTAATTGGTTTCTGGACTTGTGGTATTTTTGTCTCATCTCTTCTGATTTGAATGTAACATTTCTTAATTTTGTTTCAACGTTTCAGTAATACTTCATCAAAACAAACACTTTTTTTTTGTAAAGTGGGAGGTTGAATTTCTTTTATTCAGACGTACCTATGTTGGAGCCATGCCTGGTAAAGTCATCCAGTGTCTGAAGAAAGTGAAGACTGAAAACCCTCTCATTCTCATTGATGAGGTCAGTCATGTGTGTGTCTCAGTCTTGTACTGCATGCCTCTCCCTCCTAGTTCATGTACGTCAAAACTTCAGCCCCAGCCTTCAAATTAAGCAAGGTCAATCAACCATTTGGCTTGTATTTTGCAAAATTCATATAATTTAGGAAATCCATTTAAGTGAGCTTTCTTTCATGAAAAGTTAAATGAAGGATTGAAAACCCTAAGACACCCAGCCCCAGTCATCTAAAATTGCCGTATGTTCCATTATTTTGGGTCATTGACTTGTTTGAGACAAAGTCCTCAAGTACGTTCTTGAATTTAACATTCAGTTTTGAGCATAATTATGGTTTTCTTTGGACAGGTTGACAAGATTGGCAAGGGTTACCAAGGTGACCCATCCTCAGCGTTATTGGAGCTCCTTGACCCTGAACAGAATGCCAACTTCCTAGACCACTATTTAGATGTTCCTGTTGACCTCAGCAAGGTGTGGCTTTCAACTAATGATTTTGTTTCAGTTACCTTCCTGAATTTGAAGTGAATTGGTGACCTGTCCTCATAAATTAGGACAAGCATTGACCTTGAGGCTCACAAGATTCCATTAGTCACCATGAACAATGACATTTCATCCTTCACTGATGTGCAGTTGGCCAACTGTTGAATGTGTAAAGACCTCATGTTGGTTATCACTATCGACTGTTATTGATGCAATCTTAATCCTGGACCAGTGGTTGGTCTCTGAATCCATATCTGTAAGGGCACTCGGAGAACCCTTATTGAATTAGCAACCTTTTGACGATGATACAGGAAACTAATCCAGTTGACTAGATCAAGTCATGCTATGGGTCCAGTGCATATATATATGTACATGTTGTATCTGACCGGTTTACCATAGTATTGTTTGCTGACCTCTTGCTGATACTTACATGAAGTAAATACCTCCTCCAGTACCTCTGTCTCTCCCTCTGTTTTTGAGTCACATTTGTATTTTTTGCCTACCAGTGGCTGGTAAACTGTGGCTGGCCATCAGTGAAAAAGCAGATGAAATAATACACAGTGCTAAAATGTCCGCTGTCAAGCGCCAAATAATTTCTAAGCACTGCTGTTAAATATTGATAATAACTGTGTTTCTCATTAAAAGTAATGGGTCAAATGTGCCTGCACCAACCAGGAATGGCAGTTTTGCAATTTTTCTTTGCCGTGAAGAACAATGGGCGTAAAGGGGGTCTACATATGAATGCATGCATACTACTTGAAAGAGCCTATCATAACACATAACAGAAAGTTGTAACTATTCCACAAAATGAATCTAAATGACATTGTTCAAAAAGCCATATCCTCTTTGAGTGACCCCTGTTCACCACTTACAACCCAGGTTGTATCTTGTTATTGGGGTGTGATCACTGGCCACATGGTGTTTCAGGATTAATGGCTTCTGGCTAGTGCCCCCCGAATAGAGATATTGACCAATGGGTTGAGCCACCAACATAGGGCTGGATAGCTCCGTTGGTAGAGCACTGGTATGGTATTCCAGAGGTTACAGGTTCAAATCCCGCTCCAGTCAATTTCTTTGTTCATTTTTATAGATATTGGTTATTTAGATTTATTGTTGCTTCAGAAATGGCATACATTTGCTTTCATTTCAATATTTGAGTCAATTTACATCTTCTTAAAAAGTGGACATGTACGGTTGAAAACTCTTAATGTGTAGTATTTGTTACAAGAGTTGTAACTTGGAACACACTCAGTCTTTTTTCACCTTTTGTTGATTAGAATTAATATGCATATTTTAAATGTACATGCACATGCAGATGCATGGTCATCTCCATGAAGTCCTACTAGTGCTGCAGCCGAACCAACAAACCGAATAAAAAATCATCGAACATAGCACTTTCACACCGAATGGAACCGAACCAAACCGGTCAGTTCGGATATTTGGCTTTAATATGGCATGGCACTGAGAGCACAAAGAGTGCATGCAAGAAAACTTGATGAATTATAAATAAGGAAATACAACTAAAAATGGATGATAAGTACTGCCGCACAGGCACTCGGCACATGTGCTGGTACACGTACTGTAAATGTACATGTACAGTAAACTTGTAATGTTGTAAAAAGCATGTGGTGAGAATTCACTAATAAGCAATTGAGAACATGCAATATATGGCATTTCCGATGCCCTGCATAACAATTCTAAATTCTCACTGCATCCAACTGTGCTTATATGTATTCAGATTTAGCATTACGTGTATGTTTGCCAATCTCTGATAGCCACCCCCTTACATTCCACATAAGGCCAAGGATGTCATAAGTGGCCGTGCAAGATGAATTTTAATGGATACTGATGCTAATCGGACTTGTGCTCGATCTAAAGCAACTCTAGAGGGAATATTGATTTTGCTAGACGGCTGTGGCCGGTGCAGCACTCCAGCGCATGGCAAGATTTGGTTCGCGTGATGGCCTAACTTGCCTTTCATTTGATCATGTTTTTTTGTCGTAGTGTCATCGTAGTGAAGTCGTAGTGTGAATGCATTGTAATGGAATTTTACCAGATCTCTAAGTTGTTTGCAAATCTCAACAAAATGCTGTTATCTGTTCGAAAAAGACTGATGGAAAATGGCCCCATTGGCCACAGGAGCACCATCCTGGGAAAAAATGCTAACTTGATACCAATGTTCTTCGAATACATCGAATGCCATAATTTGGCAGTTGAATCTGCTTCGTGAAAAATAACTAAAACACAATTCCCTAGCTCGAAATCTAATTTAATCTTGCATCCTGTAAAGGAGGAAACTCCCATTTGAGCATGCCGTTTTTTTGTTTTCACATATCCTACTGTCGTTTTGTTAAGTCAAGCGCTGTCCAAACACAACCGCTTTTGGTCGGCAAAACACGGTTGGAAACTCTCACACCTCTGACAGTAACTTTTTATGGAATTTTAACTCCTAATAACTAAACGAACTTTGGGGAAACAATTATGAAAAATTTTCAAATCGAAGTTGCTCTTAGATTGGGATGGAGAGGAGATTCACTGCTTGTATTAACATATGTTATACACAAAAGTACTACGGCACGTTTGTAGCAAGCTCCTTGATGTCTCAATTTGCATTGTACATGTGTGTACATGTCCAAACCTGAACCAAACCAAAGTTTGACAAAAAAATTCTGAACCATGTTCAAACTGAACCCAAACCAAATCTTGGCACCTACTTGCAGCACTAAGTCCTACCTATCTATTGCACATGTTGCATGCTACTAGTAGGTACCAGATTTCAATTGTGGCAACCTAAATTTTGTTGGAAAAACAACACAAATTTGGACTTCATAAACTCTGCACAGTATTACAGCCATCTCCAGTTCTTTACTTGCATATCACAGCAATCAGTTTGGTCCTCGTTTCTACACAGGTGCTGTTTATATGCACTGCCAATGTGATTGATACCATTCCCGAACCATTGAGGGATAGAATGGAACTGATTGATGTGTCTGGATATGTACCACAGGAGAAGGTGGCTATTGCCAAGGTTAGTTGCAACAAAGCATCTACTTTATATTAACCCTGACTCCTATCATTTGTCCTCAAGGAATTCTACTCAACACAACTAAGTCCAGAAAACTTACTGAATGCAACAGAAAGCAATGTGGGGTTCTATATTGAAATGCACTCAGACACACTGGTTAAACATTAGTCTTGGCTGTAGGCTGTGACTCAGTGTACCAAGACCCTGGTGGCAAAGGGTTATATCTGCATACAAGCATAATATCTGGTATCATGTAGAATAGCGTTTGATGTCCACCAAATGATACATGTGAGACATTCACCTTCAAAGATGAATATGCATCAGTCCTAAGCCAGCAAAGTCATGTTATGATTTTGATGGTAGATACTTGGTGCAATATCAACCATGTCCATGCGCATACCTGCTGTGTTATATCTCAGCTGTGACCGTACCCTTGGACATACATGTACATGTATAAAGACCACACATTAAGGGTTCATTCATTTCCTAAAGTGCCAAACAGACTCCTATTAGACAAATAATCATGTTTTAGGTCCCTTTGATGCCATTGCTGACAGTGTTTCATGCCTTTTGGATTTTACTTTCATTACCATATTCCCAGTAAAACGGTGATGTCATCCTAAGCAGAAGTTACAATGCTGTAACTTGTGCACACTACCAAATAACACCTATCCTTGTTTCTATAAGTTTTTGGACATACAATCTGGAACTATTTCATGGAATTTGATTGTGTGTGGAGCTCTCCATTAGCTGTGTGCCACTGCTGGGGTTTGTAGCTAAATATTCACAATACATTTGAAGCAAGACATAGGACAGAGAGAATGCCCCCCCCCACCTTTGTGTTGGTCATTGTTTGATCGGAATCTCAGGAAATCTTTACAGACTTCTAGGATGTGTCAGGTAGCAATAGTCTAGAATGTGTATAGGGATTGGACAGGTAAGGAGGGGTACCCTTCTGTCCCATATCTTTTCTGGTATGTCACAATGACATAGTCACAAAGTTTCAAAACGCAGTTGAAAAATCGAACTTTGTAAATGACTGCGGTTGTGGTGTCTTATCATTTTTACAAAGTCAGCGCTTTTAGCTTAAAATCATACAGCGCCAATAAAAACTGTAACTGATTGAAGATGTGTGATATTAATTGAGCCAGTGTTTTGTTCAGGCTTAACTTTTTTGGTTTTGATTGACAGAGGTACTTGGTCCCACAAGCTCGTGAGCAAACAGGCATCAATCAAGAAAAGGTAGTGATCGGTGAAGATGTCCTCAATACACTCATTAAGGCTTACTGTAGAGAGAGCGGTGTGCGTAACCTCCAGAAGCACATTGAAAAGGTAATGTCGTTATCCAGACATCTTCCATTAATGTACTTGAACTGGTCATCAGACTTGCTTCAAAGTGTGCTAGAAACTTATGACTTTAAATCATGAGGTTCAGTTTATAGTCCATCTCCAAATAATGAAGCATCTACTGGACTGAGCGCAGCCAAATGACTGCCAATCTTAGGCTTCCCTTGGCTCAACTACATGTATGAACCAGTGGTCAGTCTACTTGCCCTGAGTTTGCCACTCAAAAGGCTTCCAAGAGATAGGGCAAATTACAGTGTCATGCCCCAACAAGACGGTACCATGGGGAGGCATTTTGCGCAGTGCATTGTATTAAAACTGTCAACAAAACCTCTTCCTGCTGGCTGTGCTGTGTACAGGATGTTGAATTATTTGACTGTTTTTTGTCTAGGTTAAAGATTCTGAAGTTTTTACAGCGTCCGTGTTAATATAAAATGGTGTTTTTTTATGAGAAACAGAACACCTTGATCAATCACATATTTCCTCAAGTCGGCCTTTTTTTAATTTTTAGTCAACTACACAATACACATAACGACCTCTTGGTTGCACACTGTATTGTCAATCCATTACCAACCTCATGAACATTCGTAATTAGCCAAGGAAATTGTCTTTTTGAAAAATTTAAAATGGATCTCCAAGTTGGTGCATGAAGTTGTATGTCAGTGGTCCTGGAAGGGTATCTAAACACTACCACCTTTAAGGTGTGTCAAATGCGTCCAAGAGTCATTCCATCACTGTGGAATTGCCATTCCACTAAAGAGATCTCAGATTTAAAACAGAAAATGAAAGTGTCTGCCAAGTTTGTGAATAGAAGTGTTTCAAAGTACCAATTTTCAATTGTGTGGAGCCTTGAAGAGTTAAAGAATAGACAGGTTGACATTAGGTGTTACAACTCGTGCCTTATTTGATGAGCTTGGTCACATGTTCAATTGTGTGTGGTTGTTTATTGTTTGCCTTTATTTAGATTTTCCGGAAGTCTGCATTCCAGATTGTTAGTGACAAGTCTGAACGAGTTGAAGTGAATGACAGTAATCTTCATGAGTACGTGGGCAAACCAGTCTTCACTAGCGAGAGGATGTATGATAAAACTCCAGCTGGAGTTGTCATGGGACTGGCATGGACTGCCATGGGTGGGTTTGTAGATATCGTTTAGTAACGTCCACTTACTGCCGGGTGGAATTTGAAGTTGCATGACGTAAAACCGGGAGATTTTCAAGATATTACATTTTCAAAAATCTTAAAAAAATCATAGCTTCATTTACTGGACATTTACACCTACACGAATAACTGTATGGTGACTACTCTAATCTGACAGACAACATCTATTGATGCCCAAGTATTTCAGCCAGGCTTGCCGCCTTGTAAAAAGGCCCAGATTGTGCAGTGTTATGTAACTTTCTTTTGTTCCCGAAACTGGCACAGTACGCTACAGGCATCTTTTCAAAAGGGGACAGATTAGCATGCAGCAGTACTGTATCGCTCATTGCTGGAGCACTTTTGTCCCCGGTGGTAATATGCTCGTGCTAACTGCCACAAATAGTGGTATAATCTCTCAAAATAAGGATGGATTTCCTCCGCTATTGACAACTGAAAAAAAGTTGGCAATTCCCAGCAGCTCTGTCTTTTGTTCAGAGTACAATCTTTTGTTACAAGGCCCAGCTCTTTTGTCCGGTTTCGGACTCCCCGGTTTCGTGTATAAAGCCTATGTGCCCGAAACTGGGTTCCCCGGCAGCATGCGGTTAAGGCTAGCACTAGCATAGCATAGACATTATCATGTAAGATCATGCCATTTATTTGGTCAGTGACTATTAATTTGGCAGCACCTGTTTGTCTGTTAATATAAGGTAAGACTTAATCAATTTTCACTGCTGATTGCTTTCGAATTTATCAAGGGTGCATTATGTATCAGTTCTGCCAGTGCATTATTCAAAGTAAACATTATGAGAATTTGAAAACAGAATTTTAACATTCTTTCCATCTCAAAAGTTCATATGCTGTGAGGGTCAGTGTACTTCTTGTTGTATGTATCGTAAGTTTGGTACATGCTTTCGGTTAATCTACCCATAAATTTTTGCCAGATGCCTATCCAAACAAATAAGCACATTCAGGCAAATTTGTGCAACCCTCTGCCCCATCCATTTAAATTGTGAACAATGCAACGCAGGCTTCATCAGAAAACAGATCAAAGGTTTTGATAGATTGATGATCTATTTGGTCCATTATCTTAAGCTTCCTATACACATTCACAGAAGATAAAAAATGCACTGTATTCAATGGACAAGCGAGGCTACATTCTAAAAAAAGATAATATTGGATCAGAGAAATGCCGATCATGGTTAGTCTTGATCGTCTTTTTATGTATTTGTACAAAATTTTAACCCTTTCTTACGGGAGCTGTCCACAGCCGGGGTTTTGTGTGAGGATTAGTGCATACCACACATACAGTCTATTCACCATGCAGCTGCTGGTTCAATGGGGCCTGCTGCTGGACAGAGCATTGCATACTGGGCACACCGCAGCCCGGCAGTCACGGTCAAAGGAATTCCGGCGTAAAGGGGTTAAACTTTACAAAAGTAAATAATCTAAACAATTGATTGACTTCTCTAATACAGGTGGTTCAACACTGTACATAGAATCAGCTTTGCGTAAGGCGGGTACCACCGACACAAAAGGTGCATTTGGCTCATTGGAAATCACTGGTAACCTTGGCGATGTGATGAAGGAGAGTGCCCACATTGCCTACACAGTTGCCAAGTCCTTCTTATTCACCGAAAAGCCAGATAACAACTACCTAGAGACTAGCCACATCCATTTACATGTACCTGAGGTGAGAACTCTCATGTTCAGAAATTCTTACTACATCACGTCATTTGAGGTTGTTTTCCTTAAAGATTTATCTGGCCTGTTTGCTTCAACATAAAGTAAATTTTGACAAGCACAAACTTGTTGGATAATTTAATAAACCTGTTTGGAATGATGGTATCTGTCGTTCTAACAACCGTGAAATCCAATCAACCATGTAATCTTACAATGATCCATATTTCTATGAGTCCCGTTAATGTTTTACAAAACCAACCCGAAATCGAACTGACCCAAAACCGACTTTGGGTTAGATCGTTTTTTTCCAAGATTTTAGTCGGATTGGGTCGGTTACGTTTTTCCGTTTGTGGTTTTCGGGTTGGGTCGGGTCGGTTAAGCTATATTGTTAAAAAAAAAGGAAATAAAAATAACTGAAAAACTGAAACAGGAAATTCACTTGATGAACTTACTTTTTAGAGCTTCAGATTACATAGTTTGTAGCGACAGTGACGCGGCACGTCAAAATAAAAAGTGAACTGTCCTACTATTGTGAGTAGACCGGAAATAGTCGCACACAGCCGCACACAAAGTTCAATGCAGTTCGGCCAACTACGCATATTTCATGAGATTTTTCTTTCGAGAAAAACAAGGCAGATAAAATTGACAAAGTTATGTAAGGGACAAATATTGTGCATGGTTTGTAGACATGCAGGAACTTTATAGCACAGGTCACCTTGTTAGGACATGGGACAATACGACTACATCTGACAAGTATATTCACAAATAAATTCCTACAATACTGGCATAAGTTCAGGCACAAAAACGGATACAATTTGTGTGGAATAAAGGATGATTAGCCCAAACCAGGCATTGAGATTTTTTCGGGTTTAGTTACCTTTTTGTCGGTTTGTCCCGTATCTCTTGTTGGGTCGGGTCAGTTTGGAGAGTTAAGATCGGTTTCGGTTCGGATTCAGTTTGTGTCTGTAAAGTTTCGAGTTGGTCTGGCCAAGTCAACCCAATGCGATGCACATTTTTAAGTCCAACACCGTATGTTTTGATGTGTGTGAACCTGTCATGATGATAAATTATTTCATGGTGTGTGAAACCTAAACCTCATGCTCAGTATATTAAGCTGAGTTTTACATGGCAACAGGGATTACTTCCAGGTGATGCATTTATGGGACGTGTATAAGATCATTGTATTTCGAAGGGGTCCATCTACTTGTTATACATATTTAGTTAAATATTTCCAAAGTAATTCTAATTCTGTGAAATGCTTTAGTATCCAAAGTTAATATTCAATCCTGATATTTCCACTGATGGAAAGAGATACCAATACATGTAAGACTTTGTACCTGGATACATGTACATTTCATTTCTCTAAGTTCTTACTCGATAGTTGAAAACAGATAGCTTGAAAATGTGATACCGCATCATAATGGTTGGGTGTCTTCACTAATGTAATGATCAATCCATTGCATGTTAGTCACAAGATGGTCAAACTGAATGAAGTGAAAATTAATACATGAAAGCAGATGGCCGTGACTAGGCATTGATTGATCAAAGACATGCATTGTGTATCCCTATTACTTGTGAAAATCTTGGCTGAACTTTTGCCTTCTCTGCACCAAACACAGTAAGGGCATCACAGTTTATACGTAGGATTGTCACTAAACAGAGCAATTGCCCTTTATAGCAAAACAGTAATAATTGCTGAGCTCTGTACTCGGGTTGTGCATTAGTGAAGAAAATGAGACTACCTTTGCTGTATGCCTTTCTGTTATTGTTCACAGGGTGCCACACCAAAGGATGGCCCCAGTGCTGGCAGCACGATTGCCACAGCACTAATATCACTGGCTCTCAACCGACCAATCAGACAGAACATTGCCATGACTGGAGAGGTGTCTCTCACTGGTAAGATTCTGCCAGTTGGAGGAATCAAGGAGAAGATTATTGCTGTAAGTCTACAAAACCTGATGCAAGATCTTGTTGGTATTGTCATTGTTAGCATTAGTACCCCACATAAGTCTTTTTCAGACTTAACCTCTTCGTGTTAATATACCAAGGATGGCCTATGAGGCTGGCTACTGGTCAAAGCCTTGCCCTTTCTCATCTCAATTGCAGGGGCTAATCTTAATGCGTCCAAACATTAGGTTAGATGGAAGCTTCCTTCTGATCTGCACAATAGGTGACCTGGACCACTAAAAGTTGTTCGGCTTTACTTGGTCTGTAAAATACATTTATGCCAGAATTTCCTTTTCCAAAAATCCACCCCTGAAATTAACCAGACCTTTAGGGTTTCATTCCCCTTCCCCCTTTTTTGGTACATTCAGTAAAGATTTAGTTTTAATGGCCTGCTTCCTGCTTCCTCACATTTGATGGCGCTGTTGACCTAATTTCACGTCTTGAATTTTTTGTGCGTATTTGTTCGCCCTCAAAGTACAGTCGAACCTCATCAATTAGAGAATTGTTGATACAACATTCTGCTTATACCAAAGAAGTTGTAGACCTCAATCCTTTGTTCTTTATTGATTTCATTGCTGATGATACAAGGTTCCTGTTATAACAAGGTCATCTGCAGTGAGGTTTGAATGTCCTTGCTAAAGCAGTTTGTCATCAACTGGTTAGCAAACTGTAAATACATGTATGACAAAAACAGGAAAAAAACACAGAAAA